TTTTTTTTTTTTTTTTGAGGCTTTTGCCATAGGGCATGTGAGCCCACTGGAAAGAGATGGGGAGAGGGAAGTGAGAAATCATCCCCACCCCCTAGAGGGGATGGCCACGCTGCAATCCCTTCTCCTTCTCCTTTATTCTCCCCCTGGGATTTTGAGCACATGCACACATTTTCAAACCTATGGGTCCAGGGTCCAGGACTTAAACCACCCTTGGCCATATGGGAGTCGAGCACCTTTTAACCACTATGCCACCTGCTGGCCCCTATATAAGATTTCTTAAGAGAGTAAATAACTGCACTTTTCCAAACACAGTAACTCAGGCAAAATTAAACACAAGGACCACCAATGCAATAAACTCACTTTAGGGTTGGTTCTTGGTGGAGCCTCCATGTCTGTGCATGCCTCGTAGTACTCACAGGGCTGCTGTAAAGAAGGTACTTCCGCGCAGCCTTAAACGGTGAGTTCCTCAAGAACAGGGATCACCATTTTATTTTTGCTTTGCTATCAGCCATATTTGCTCTCTGGAGAGATGGAAAGGGAGAAATTATCCCCCAGGGGATGTTAACACCACAATCCTTGCTCTCCATCCTTTTCTTGGGTTTTGGGCATGCATGCACAAGTGCCCAGCATGTTTGTCAAGCCGCCAGGTCTGGGACTTGAACTGTATGGTCAGCCATGCGAGATCCAGCTGCTTTAACCTCCATGCCACCTGCTGACCCTGTTTGTCTTTATTGTTTGAGAGAAACAGTTACTCCTAACCATGTCCCTAGGCCATAAGCCACCAGCAGCCACAGCCAGCTCAGATGACAGTGTGCCCAGAGACCCTGCTCATGAGAGCATTGTGTTATATCTGTGTCACCATCTGGGCCATTTTTTTAAAATCAATTTTTATTCTTCTAGAACCTAGTGTGTTCCTAGAAAAAAAACCCAGATGTTTAGTAAACATTGAAATGTGAAGATATAAAATAGCTTCTAATCATGAAAGGTGTCTGTAGGCAGAAGGGTTCTATAGTCAGGAATGTGTTTATGAATATACCATAAAGCGACAATACAGGTAGCCATTCATACATTTGGACATAATCACATAGCTAAGGGCTTGCATATATAGGGATGGGAAAACTCCATAACTCAAATTGCCTGTTATCAACAATTCTAAATATAGTGTCCTGTTCATGTTTTCAGAGTATTCAAGATAACTTTCTGGCTGAACATCTATATGCTAGGCACTGCTTCAGGTGGTTGGGGTACACAAGTACAAAATAAAGGGCTCTGTCCTCGTGAAGCATACATTCTCATAGAGGGAAACAGAAATTGGAAATAATTAAATGTGTTTAGTATGTTAAAAAGAAGAAAAGTGCTATGGAAATAAAGACTCAGGAACAGTGGGAATGGAACGGTGGACAGTATGAAATGGGATGATGCGGGTAGCTCAGTGAGAAGGAGAGTTGTGAGCCAAGTTTGAAGGTAGGATTTAGCCAGGTGCCTATCTGAAGCAGCTTCCAGGGAGAGAACAGCAAGGGCAAGAGTCCCGAGGGCATAGCAAAGTGTGTCCGAAGACTTGGGGAATAGCAAGAGGGCCAGGGTGGTGCCTGAAATTAGGAGAGTCAAGGAAGAAGAAAAGGACATAAGGCCAGAGAGGGAGGAGGGGTGGCACTGTGTAGTGAGGAGGGGGTTCAGATCACAGAGAGCTTTATGGATTATTGTTACCTTTGGATTCGACTCTGAGAGAAAGAGAAAGCCATTTCCCAGGTCTGAGAGAGGAGTCATATAATCTGACTTATAGTTTTGTTTTTTAAGAGAGATTTTTGGTATAGGGCCCATGTGTTTTCTGGAGAGCAAGAGAGACAGAGAGAAAGTAATAAATCCCTCCCCTCCCAGGGGGGATGGCCATGCCACAATCCCTTTTCCTCAATTCTCCTCTTGGGATTCTAGGCATGTATACACACATGCCCGACATGCTCATCTTGGGATTCTGAGTATGCACACACCTGGTGTGAGTGTCAATTCACTGGGCACTGGACTCAAACCATGGTTAGTCACATGGGAATCCAGTTCTTTAACCAGCCACCTGCTGGTCCCTGACTTAGTTTAGTTTTTCTTTTCTTTTTTTAAGAGAGATTTTTGCTATTTGGCAGGTGTGCTCACCAGAGAGATAAAAAGAAAGTGAGAAACCACTCCCCAGGGGAGATGGCCACACTGTAATCCCTTCTCTATTCTCTCCTCAGGGTCTTGGGCATGCACGCACATGCACCTTGTGTGAGTTTTAGGTCACCGAGTCCGGGACTTGAACCACAGTTAACTATGTAGGAGTCCAACAACATAACCATTATGCCATCTGCTGGTCCCCCTGACTTACAGTTTTAAAGGGATCCTTCTGTATTGAGAACAGATTGGAGGAGGAGGAGGCAAGGATGGAAAGGAAACTTGCTGGGAGATACTAAGAATAAGTCTATGTGTTTTTATCGGCAGGTCCCTTCAGTAGAAATGAGTGCTTATCGACAAATGGCTCTGCTAAGTTCAGCTTTTGCATTTAGCTGGAGCAGGTGGAACACACTATGTAATTCTACAAAAGTCGTCCTTAAGGTATCGTGTGCAAAAACACACAAAACAACTTTGCCTTCCAAAAGAATAGAAAGTACTCAAAAGCATGAATGTAGACCACAGCTTCTCTTCTAGAGGTTAAAAAAATTAACATTCAAAATTTAAATTTCAATTTTTTTTTTTATCAACAGTATAAAAACAAACTATGTAAGATTATGCCTTTGTTGTTCATTATAGTATCAAATGCTCTTGACTTCAGGCTATCATTTTTATCTTTTATATCAATTAAAAAACAAGTAGAAGTTTGAATATGACTGTATCTATGATTTATGAGCTGAGAGGATTTAGGAACCCTGAGAGGATTCGGCCTTCAATTTAACTCTATGACACATACTTACTTTGCCTAATAAGGAAGGTATATTACCAAATTCTAAAAGCTGACTAACGAATGCTTTAGTATAAATGAGCCACCACATTTATTTTCCTTTATCCTGTATTTCCCCTACTTGCAATACAAGGTTTTGAAGCCAGACATTTGCTTTTGCAGTTGTTATTCACTTATTAATATATTTGGGAACCTTGTTTCTTGTGTTTTGCTTCACTTTTAAATTCTTAGCACTGAGAACACTAGCCAGTCCCTGACAGGCACTCAATAAATACTTGTTATATAATAATACACAGGAATAAGCTTCATAAATACTGAGATGTAAATAGTTTCATGGTTCTAAAAATTTATTAATAATGGGACATTAAAAATGTATCTATTGGCCCAGTCATGGTGGCACAGCAGTAGCACAATGCTCTGCAATTCTGGAAGCCATATGGAAGATTAGGGTTCAGGTCCTGGGTCAATCTGTTCACATGAAGTGCACATACATGCGAACGTGCCCTATAGCAAAAATCTCTCTAAAGAAAAAAAGGTAAAAAAAAAAAAGAATATTTCATTTTAGCAATTTTGAGGACTGAGCTGAGCTCTTCAAATAATATTATGCTATCAAAATACTTCATAAAAGAGGCATTATTAACAGATTTTTTCTAACTTTCTTTTTCTTCAGGTGAGGGAACATCTTACCGAGGAACCTGCTGAAAACCTTAACTGGGCCCTTCTAATGTTTAGTGGTGATAGAGCACAAAAACTCAAGATGGATGAAGAGAGTGAGATGTTTTCTGAAACACTTAAAGAAGAAACTGAGTTTCATTCCACTCTATATCACATGGTTAAGGATTTTGCTTCTAAAGAAGCCATGGAGAAAGTTAGGAGTTCCAACTGCCAGTTTATTGACTCTGTTTGCCATATGCTACTCTCTATTAGAGTCCTCAGCTATTCTTAATCTCCACTTAGAAATGTTATTCGGTATAAAGAATCGAGCATGGTAGGAAAGAAAATCAGGTATTTTTTTCAATAAAGTATAACGAATTCTTTCAGACAGCCTATTAGAATAATATAAGTCAGCATTTTATACTCAAGTTTTATTTTAAATGAAGTGAAGGTTTCTTCCCCCTTTGAGTTCTTGGCCTAGTGAATGTCAACTTCCACTATATGAAGATTTGAATGGTTCTTTATTTCAGTAAATTTTAGTAAAACAATATATAATATTTCTTTCTCAAAAAGCTCGGTAAAAGATCACAGACAGGCTTCTTCCCAGACACTGTATTGTAGTTGGGGAGGTGATCACACAGCAAGGGAATGGAAGCTAACTTACAGTCATCCTGAGAAGCTCTGGTTCCGTCCTATACTTTCCCAGCTAAAAGTTACTAATTGACAAAGTCCAGATTTAAAAATCCAGATACTTGTATTAGGATGTGCTGAGGTCACACCGGTGGTGGCCCATTGTGTCGGAGTCCAGTAAATGGCCACAGGATATGCTCTAGAGAGACCCAGGAGTCCCCTTCCTGTGTGGGAGCAGCATCCACTGACTTGTGGAAGAACCGGCCCGTGAGGAAGCTCATCAAGGCCGCAAATAGGACAATGAAGGCCACCGAGAGCCAGAGTGCCTTGTTAGCCTTGCCGATAGAAGTCTTGAGGCTTGTTGCCCAGGAAGTTATCGTGTCGTAACTGTAAGGAAAACACAAACACAGAATTTGGTAATGTAACTATTTTTTTTTTTATTAGAAATACCCTTTTTGTTAACAATACCAACCAAGTCTTTGATCTGCCTTCTATATTACCAGTTTATAATCTACAGATTATGATTAGAATCTTGTTTTTTGGGGCATAATCTACCTTCCACTCCTTATAATGATTGGAAGTTAATAAATGGTGTATAATGAGAATCTGAAAATTATGTGACCTAGGCATTAACTCTTAAAAAGCACATATGAGTATTTACTGGGTTGTTGGAAAAGTCATGATGTGTTTTTCTATGCAAAAATGCAGCATGACTTTTCTGATGACTCAATAGCTCATTCTTTTCATCAAGTGAGGAAACTTACATAAGGGAGCTTTAAAAAGTTCATGGAAAAAGCACATTATGAAAAAACTATACATGGATTTTTGGGGGGGAGCACCAAAATAAACTCACATTTTAATTCCATTTTTCTATGTACTTTTTGAAATCTCCTACTTCTGCAGTGAAAAGATATTTTCTGGGTAGATTAAGATATATACACACATACATCTATTTATACATGTGTACATAGACATGTCACTTATTTCTCAGCATACTTTAATTTACTGTAGTAAAATTTAAACTTTATTTTTTTTTTTTTTAGAAAAATCCAGAAAGAAACTTACTACAGCATCATTTTAAATCATCAAAAATAAGTAACTCTGTCCTGGACACTACTAAATATTTTGCATGTGCAAATTGAATTATAACAACACCAAAACATAAGTACTATCAGCATCTCTATTTTCTTTTTTCTTTTTTCTTTTTTTGATATAGTGTCCATGCACGTGCTGAAGAGAAACAGAGAGTGAGAGAGAGGGAAAGTGAAAAAATCACCTCCCAAAGGGATGGCCATGGCACAGCCTCTTCTCTTTTACTCTCCTTTTGGGATTTTGGGCACACACATACACAGACCCGATGTGATTTCCAAGACACTGGGGCTGGAACTCAAACTGCACAGTTGGCCATGTGGGATCTGGCTGTCTTAACCACCAAGCCACCAGCCAGTCCTATCATCATTCTTTTATAGGTGAAGAAATAGGTGCTCAAAAAATAATTTGCCCAGTTCACCTAGCTAGTTAGCTGGAATTTGAGCCCAAACCATTTGACTTCACAGTCAAAATCCTAACACTATAATGCTTTTGCCTTATGTAAGATAGATTAAGAGATAACTACTGTAAACCATACAAAGGTTGCTATTCATCTTAAAATTCAGCAATTTGACATATCCTTTAGTAAGGTAATTTGTTAAGATTTATACTATTAATTCTGCCCTTGTCCTATTACTATGGTTTGAATGTGTCCCCAGAAATCCACATGTTGAAATTTGTTAAGCCATTATTAATGGTGTTGAGAGGATATTGATTCAGTTATGGTGTTGAAAGGGGGCCTTTGGGAGGTGACTGGCATGGGATGAGGTTATCAGGAGGGGGCCTGCAGCACTGACTCCTAGTAGCTTTACGCAGACGCAGATGCTACGGTCTTGGTCTCTGTCACCATGTGGTGTCCTGTGCTGCCTTGGGGCTCATCAGAGAGCCTCCACCAAGACTCTCACCAGATGCGGCCTCTTAACTTCAGACCTGCGAAGCTATGAGCGAAATAAACCTCTCTTCTTTAATTACCCAGACTCCTGTATTTGTTAGTGACAGCACAGTGGACTAAAACACCTTTCCCATCCCACCGAAATGGTATCAGTTAGCAAGTAGACAACTCACATTGAGGAGACGTCCCACTTTGATGGATTATTTTTCTTTTCAGAAAGACTTGGTTTCCTTGTCCTTTCTACTATTTCCTCTTCAGGTGGTTCTGAGTCATCTTTAGTTCTGTAAATAATTGTTTTTTCAGAATATTTAAACTGAGGATAATATGTTATTATTTATTAAGTATTGTTAAATTTTAATACATAATTCAAGAGGCTCATGAATATTATTTTTCCTTTAGGAAGATTTGATAAATATCTAATTCTAAATGTCAAATCACCCAATTTGTATATTAAACCATTTAAGGGAATTAAAAATGTTAGTGTAGAAAGTTGGGATGTTGGGGACCAGCAGTTAATGTAATGGCTATGTCGCTGGACTCCCACATAGTCGACCGTGGTTTGAGTCCCAGACCCAGTGGCTTAAATTGACGCCAGGCACGTGTGCGTGTGTGCCCAAGATCCCAAGAGAAGAATGGAGGAGAAGGGATTGTGGTGTGGCCATTCCCCCTGGGGGTTGATTTCTCACTTTCTGTCTCTCTGTCTCTCTCTGTCTGTCTGGCAAGCACACACGCCCTATGGCAAAAACCTCTCCAAAAAAAAGAAAAGAAAAAGAAAGTTGGGATGTTAGCCAGACACACAGTTAGGAGAAAGTTACAAAAAGCATATAAAAGTTAGTAATCTCAACCTGATAAACCAGTGTTTTTATTGTATACACACATATATACACAAACATGGCATACACACCTATACATATATGCATGCATGCTTAAACACAGTTTAAAAAGCAAATGTGGATGTCACAGTTTTGTATTTTTTCATTCAAAATATAGTAATTTTTTTCTCATTAACTATTCTACCACATTGTGTTATTTAGTTTAGTTTTTAAATTTGCTAAAGGACATGTGGAAAGAGACAGAAGGAAAGTGAGAAAGCACCCCCATTGCGGATGGTCACACTTCAAAACCTTCTCCATTTTTCCTTTTGGGATTTTGGACATGTGTATCTGGCATGATGCTCAAGCCGGGGCTCTGGGACTTGAACCTCAAAGTCAACCATGTGAGACCTAGCCACCTTAACCACCATGCCGTTAGCTGACCCATCACATTGTGTTTTATTTTATTTATTATTATTTTAACTTGCTATAGGACATATGTGCTCACCAGTGAGAGAGAGAAAAAGAGACAAACAGGAAGCAAGCTGCCAGGTCCAAGATTTGAACCATGGTTGGCCAAGTGTGAGTTCAATGCTGTAAACAACATGCCACCAACTGGCCCCCTCACTGCTTTTAATATCCGATACTAGCAATTTATTTTACTCTTTTCTATGCAAGATTTTTGCTTGATGCTAACTTGGACTAACAAAATCTTCTTTAAAACTCTTAATTTGAACACTTTATGAAATAATTTTAATGTAGGGAACAAGCAGTTAGCGTAATGGCTATGTCGCTGGACTCCCACGTAGTCGACCGCGGTTCGTGTCCCGGACCCGGTAGCTTAAACTCATGCCAGGCACGTGTGTGTGTGCCCAAGATCCTGAGAGGAGAATGGAGGAGAATGGATTGCGGCGTGACCATCCCCCCTGGGGGGTGATTTCTCACTTTCTGTCTCTATGTCTCTCTCTGTCTGTCTGGCGAGCGCACACGCCCTATAGCGAAAAAAACCTCTCAAAAAATAATTTTAATGTAAAGCTAGCTAAAATAAACTAGGAAATTGTAAATAGAGTGACTATTTTAAATAGAATAATAACTATGGAGAGGTTTGGTTTCCTCTCCTGGTGGGGGAAGAGAACTCAATTTCATTATGTTTACTGGTAAGTTCCTTGTTGAATATTAATTTTGAAATTCCAAGCTTATAATGAGGTCTTTCATCTAAGACCTCAAACCTTGCAGTTCTGTGAGTTACAACAGTGATTGCATTCACAAATAACATTTATATAGTGCATTGCAGTTTATAAAAGTCTTTTGCAATGAATTTACTTGTGTTTTTTGTTTTGTTTTGTTTTTGTTTTTGTTTTTGTTTTTAGGTTTCTGCTACAGGGCTCATGTGCTTGTTGAGGACAGGCAGAGAGAGGGAAAGTAAGAAATCAACCCCCAAGGGGGATGGCCACACCACAAATCCTTCTCTTCCATTCTCCTCTCAGGATTTTGGGCATGCACACACATGCACCCAGCATAATTTTCAAGCCACCAGGTCCAGGATTTGAACCACATTCAGACATTTGGGAGTCCAGTGCCTTAACCACCATGCCACCTGCTGGTCCCATGAATTAAGTTTTTGGTAATATAGAATTGATCTCATGTCTCATCTCCATGGAATAAAAGTGATCCCCATGGGTTTTGCCCCAACTCTAGTCAGATCAATAAACACATCAAGCTTTACCTACTTTAGATCACATTTTTCATCTTCGGCATCTGCCCAGGAATAGGTGCTAATAAAGCGGTGTAATGAGGGACGATGTTCACTCTGCTTTGACCCCAAAATACGCCTAAATAAAGATGATTATAGCCACTGGTCAAATCAAATACATCTATAGCCATAATCAATTTATTTTCTACTGCTTAAATCAATACAAAAATTGTATGTTCTAATTTTTTCTTTAGAACATTCATATAACTCCTATTTTATAACTCAAAAAAACTTCTATGTCAATTTTAAAAATTATTTACTTATATTCTGTGCAAACCAAATATTACTATAGCTCTTATTTCAAACATACATTTGTTTAAACTCTATTAGAAAATAAGACTCCTGAAGAGCAGACATGAAATTATACTTACCAACTGCTTGACCTCCTACTGAATCGGTCATTATTTTCTATCCCAGCCACCTTTAGAAGTTTAGATGTGAAAGAAATGATAAAATATGAATTTAGTGAAGTAGGCTTACATTTTTGTCATATGAAAATGAATGTAATTTTGATGACTAATACTTAGGAATTTGCTTACCATTCCAGCACTTCCAATATTTCTGGGTAAAGAAGCAATGGTCACTCTTCGAAGAGAAGATGGCTACCCAAAGAGGGGAAAATAACAGTCAGAAAATCCTCTATTTTATCTTTGCATACAGCACTGATGAATATCCTCACATATACACATCCATGCACTTACCCCTTACTGGGCTAAATAGGCATTAAGGAGCCTTATTATGGTTAAATTGCTTTCTAGAATCTTTTTTCAGAGGCAGGGTCTTCTGTATTGCCAAGGCTGGCCTCAAACTCGTGATCTTCCTGCCTGAACTTCCAGAGTATCTGGGATGACAGGCACGTGCTACCACACCCAGCTAGTTTTCAGCTATATTTTATCAATTTATACTCCACCTTCCCCAATATTAGGTTATTATAGCTTTTGCCAATTAAACAAGGAATATAAAATTTCTTGTTTGGATTTGCATTTGAGTTCTAGTTACGGTGAATGTTTTTCTCTATGTTTAGTAACAACATTTATCTTCTCTGAGAACCATCTGTTTATATTTATGCATTTTGTTCATATCATCTTACTTTTGTTCATATCTGGAAGGAAATTTTTTTGATGTTAATTCAGCCAAATGTATTCTTCTCTTTCTGGAAGGAAATCTTCTTCTTGTTAATCCAACCAAATCTATTCTTCTCTTTCTCTATTTTGCTACCATTGCTTTTTTTTGTTTAGAAAGATTCCACCACCACCCCCCTAAATTCAGGAGGATCTAAATATGTACCTATGTTTATAGCTTCTTTTTGTGTGGTTTCATTTTTTTCTATTTAACACATTTAAGGATTGTCATGATATTTTAATGAATGGCTGTTTTAATATGTCAGCTTTGAGATTTACACAGGAACGTGTTATGTAGTACTTTGTGGGTATTACAGCTTAAGTACAAGTTCAGGATAAAAGAGAATATTTTAAATGTAGAAACTAAAGTAAATGAGTTGAATTTGATTTGAACCTTTTTTTTTTTTTTTTGAGAGTTTTGTTGTTGTTTGCTATATGGTATGTGTGTTTGCCAGAGATGGGGGTGGGGGTGGGGAAGGGGACAGAGAGAAAAAAAAGTGAGAAATCACATCCCTATGGGGGATGGCTACACCACAGTCCTTCTCCTCAATTATCCTTTTGGGATCTTGGGCACGCATGCACCTGTGCCCGACATGAGTTTCAAGCCACCAGGTCTGGGACTTGAACCACGGTTGGCCACATAGGAATCCAGTGTCTTAACCACTATGCCATCTGCTGGCCCCTATGAATCCTTTCTTCAAAGTTTATTTCTTTCTCTCATGAGCAAGAGAGACAGAAAAAGAAACAGAATCCTCAACATGTTCCTGACGCCGAGATCCACTCCCAACCTCAGCTAGCCCCAGATCACGGAAACACACGTGTGCAATGTACTCAGGCAGGTCTCTGGACTGAAACCAGGAAGCTCTGCAGTGGGATTGCCTTGCAGAATACCTCACTTTATTTAATTTAATTGCACCCCTAATTTAATTTAATTTGAGCATCAAGAGTATCAAATTACAGTCTAAGAAACTTTTTTTTTTTAAGAGAGATTTTTAGCTATAGGATGCATGCACTTGCTATAGAAAAAGAAAGACAGATAGAAAGCAAGAAGTCACTTCCCAGGGAAGATGGTCACAACACACTCCATTCTCCTCCATTCTGCTTTTGGGATCTTGGATATGCATACACACACACCCGGTCTGAGTTTTAAGCCACTAAGTCCAGACTCAAACCGCTGTTGCCTACGTTGGAGTCCAGTGATGCAACCATTATGCTGTCTGCTGGTTCCAAGAAATCTGGTTCCTAATCGTGAGTCTACCACCACATTATCATAACTATTCATTTAATGTCTATACTTTCCTTTTTCCTTGCCTATGAAAAAGAAGGATTTGTACTGAATGATTTTAGTCACTTGCTGAAAAAAATTCTATAAATCTGTGAATTTATATCCTGATTTTTAAACTATGGCAAAACTGCTAGTGGATCTTTAATAACACATTTTCTCCATCTTATATTTAATAATAATCTCCTTGATTTTTAGCTAAGCATACTGTCTCTAGAATTAAAACTGTATTTTTTTTTTCAGTCTTGTTTGCAACTAAGAACAAAAAGGGAACTGTTAGATCGGATTTCTAGGAAGTATCTTTACAGGGAGAGGGAGTACCTATCTTTGCTTCTTCCTTTCTCTTGGGGATGAGACTTGATGCAATGAGTGGATCTGAGGTAGCCATCTCAGACGATAAGAGAAAGCTGAGGCTGCTGAAGCATTAAGATAGGAGGAGACTGGTCCGAGTGGATTTGGTGAAGTTGCTCTACCTGTACTGGACACCAACTTTGGTTTTACACAACAGAGAGAAACTATTGCTATACTGACTTTCCTCACTTTGCCAAGCAAATTTAATTGATATACCAATGCAGCAACAAGTGTAAAAACATATAAACAGTATACATATACATACACACACAAGGAGTCTTTCAAAAGTTCATGAACAACATGTATTAGGAAAAAAACTATGCATGGATTTCAAATTGTTTTTGTACCACAATAAACTTGTGCTTCGATTCCATTTTTCCATAAACTTTGTAAAGTACCCTTGTTTATATGAATTGAAACCATTGTTTCATGATTTACATTGAAAGGCATGTTGCTTCAAATAATATTTTTAAATCACCTTGTTTATAAGCACTTGACAGACATTTGTTAAGTGAATTAATCATTACCTTGGAGTTGAGAGAAGCTGAACGCTTTTTAATTTGGCAGTCATCTGAAAGAAAAATCATGTTTCCCATTTTAGAAATTACACATGCAATTTATGTTAAGGTAATGGTCTTAATTCTTTGCAAAGTGAAACAAAAATCAGACAGATTTATTTAAGACTATAGAGACTACTACTGAACAATATAAACATTTGTTCATAATTTACTTGGCAATTTCTGTGTTACCCAGTGGAAATGGAACACAGGCCTCTGTGTTCCTGAAGATGCCCACAGTGCCAACCTGTGCATGGTAGACACTGGATGTCTACTGAATGAAAGAATCAAAAAGTACACATCAAAAAACTATAGACTATGATTATTTTTCTAGAAGAGTGAACAGATTATTAAAATATTTCTCAGGGAACAGCAGATAGCATAATAGTTACATCACTGGACTCCCAAGTGGTCGACCATGGTTCAAGTCTTGTACCCAGTAGCATAAAACTCACACTGGGCACATATGTGTGCATGCCCAAATTCCCAAGAGGAGAATGTAAGAGAAGGGATTGCAACATAGCCATCCCTCTCCGGGGGGGGGGATTTCTTACTTTCTGTTTCTATCTCTAACTCTCTCTCTCTCTCTGGCAAGCACACGTGCCCTATAGAAAAAAATCTCTCTCAAAAAAATAAAAAAGGGGACTAGCAGTTAGCATAATGGCTATATCACTGGACTCCCAAGTGGTCGACCATGGTTCAAGTCTTGTACCCAGTAGCATAAAACTCACACTGGGCACATATGTGTGCATGCCCAAATTCCCAAGAGGAGAATGTAAGAGAAGGGATTGCAACATAGCCATCCCTCTCCGGGGGGGGGATTTCTTACTTTCTGTCTCTCTGTCTCTCTCTGTCTGGCGAGCGCACGCGCCCTATAGCGAAAACCTTTCCAAAAAAAAGAAAAGAAAAAAGAAAGAATTCTGCTCAGAAAGGTTCATACTGTTTATTTAAAATGGAACAATTTTAAGTTGCATATAAACCATATGTTAAGATCATTTTCACAGCCTCATTATGTCACTCTGTGTTGTAATCTATCAGCTTACTGTGCCAGAGTTCTTCTTGATTGGAGAAATCCAAAACCGCTGCTAATTAGTGGTTCATCTAAGTCACTGCCTGGTAGTTTACATGTGTGGAGACAGCCAGCTCGAACACATCTCCATGAAGGATATTAGGTTCAACGTAATGAGTTGGATCACATATGAGAGGGGACTTGAAAAAGTTCATGGCAAATGGAATGGATTTATTTTGGTACAAAAGATTTTGAAATCCATACAGATTTTTTTTTTCATAATATTTCTCATGAACTTTTTGGAGACCCCTTGTATTTTCTCATCTCAGCAAATCTCAACTGGTGTAATGAACTTTGGGGATCATTACTAAAGGATTCTTCATATCTCCCAATGTGTTTCTGACACTTTACTTTTAAATACCAGGAATAAAAATTGTTTCCAAAGCAGCCTTAACCTATGGGTCTTACTCTAAGACATCTCACGAAAGAGCAAAATGTTAGAAAGAGGGTGGGAAACGTGGGAGATTAAGAGGGAGGGAATTGGGAGAAAAAAAGAAGTAAAACATTTAAAGGATACAAAAATGGAAAATTATCTGTTGATAATATGTATGGTATTATCTTCTATTGAGCCAATATATAGTGTATTTATGATGGGAAGATTCATTTGGTATGCTGTAATGATACTCAGTGATTTAATGTAAAAGTAAATAAATATAAGTCAAAAAAAGAAAAATATGACTAATACTATTATTATAAACTTTAATTACCTTCGTCTTCAAGAGAGTTAAAAGACCTTTCATTCTGTAAAAGAACCTGTTTCAGTTCTTCTAGCTCTGCATGCTCTTTGGCATACATCCTCTTCAAGTTTTCTACGTGCTGGATCATCACTTCAACTGCTTTACTAACACGGCTCTCCTAAGAGCAAAAAAAGAGCAAATGAACACTGAAAATACTATTCTCAATACTCAGTTAAAAGATGCTGATTAAACACTTGCATTTACCTTTTTTCTATTCCTAAATCCCACTAAAATGACGATAAATGTATTAACAAACAAACATAAAGGACAGAGTCTACAAGGGGAAATAGAACCAAAGAAATACAATGACAACAAGATTTTGAGAGTTGGGAAGTAGGACTAATGATAAATGACTAAGATCTGGAAAAGCTGGCCCCTAAGAAAGGCAGTAAGAACAGCCTACAAGATGGGGCTGGCAAGTAGCCTGGTGGTTAAGGTGCTACACTCCAACATGACTAACTGTGGTTCAAGTCCCAGACCTGGTGGCTTCCTTTCTCACTTTCCTTCTCTTTCTGTCTCTCTCTGGTCTAATTAAAAAATAATAATAATAATAATTAAATTAAATAATTCTTAAAAAAAAAAAAAAGAAAAGAAAAGCTGCACCACCGAAAACTCCAAAGGCTAAAAACTTAGCAGGCCCCCTGGAAGTAGGTTGAATGTGAGTATCTGAACAGAAGAATGAGTAGAAAGGCAGTCCCAGGTCCCTTCCCTTACCCTGGCCAGCAGATCAACTTTCCTTCTACTGTTGTGGTAAAAGAATATACGGTTTGGGAACCAGCAAGTGGCATGGTGGTTAAGGCGCTGGACACTCCCACATGTCTGACCATGGTTCTTGTCCCCAACCTGGTGGCTTGTTTTCTCATTTTTCTCTCTCTTTCTCTCTGTCACTCTGTGTGTGTGTCTCTCTCTCTGGTCATATTAAAATAAATAAATAAATAAATCTTTAAAAAAGATTATAATATTGAATATTTAAGAGAATTAAATATAGATTTTGTAGATTGAGAAATAAGATACTGAACATATCAGTGAAAACAGTAGATATAAGCAAAAGTATGTATATATATATTTAATATTGAGATCTCTCAACCTTATTCCCCTTTCTAACTCTTAAATACTGGCAGCTAGGACAATACCCTCAAGGGAGGCCATTGGAAAAATATTCTCTAAGGACTCTAACTTTCTAAGATTAAAGGTATATAGTAACAAACATTAGGCTTACCTCAGACAAACTAGCTTTTAGGAAGCTCAGCATCACAAGGGCTATCCTCACTTAAAACACACATAGCTCTTCAGTCTCTATAATGGACAACCAGATGCCAGTCCAAGAGCACTTTATATATTCATAAGAGACTATGCCCTTATCAGATACATGATTTTCAAGTATTTTCTCCCATTCTGAGATGATCTTTTTACTTTCTTAATAATATCCTTTGATACACAGAAATTTTTAATTTTTTATAATATCTCATCTATTTTTGTTGTGGTTGCTGCTGTTTTTATCATGTACTCACTCACTTAGTGAATATTATTGACCACTTACTATCTACTGGGCATATGTTAAGGATGAGTGATACAGCAGCAAACCACACATGGGGCTTTTACATGTTGAAGATCCTTATCCAAAATGCTTAGAAACAAGTTTTTGTTTTTAATTTGAGATATTTGTATAAACTTAATGAGGGGTGAGACCCAAATGTTGAGTTGTCAGAAAAGTCATGACATGTTGAGCAGCCCCATTCAGGGATTAGGACCGCTGAAGACCTTCTACCCAGACTTCACCTTCCTGCCCTCCAGATCTAACCAGGAGCCAGATTAGAGCACCCTATTTATTTTCCCTGTCTCTCTCCATCTCTATATATTTTTAATGTTTAAACATTTTTAAACTTCTTAGTTCTCTGTTGCTTTTATCTTGCTAATTCAAGGCACCTTTCCCACCAACCCCATAGGACAAGCCAATCGTCAGCCATCTATATCTGAGTTCTGTGCATCCATATTTATGCCATGTCATGCAGTTTTCATTTTATGCATACATTTTTTTCTCTTTTTTATTGGTTTTGTCTGTTTTTTCTATCTCTCTTTTTTTTTTCTTTTCCCCCTTTTTACCTTTCTCACTTTTCTGCTCAGCCACCACACACAGTTTCTAGACAGGTTTAGGTACACAGTAGCCAAATATCTGAATACTTTTAGGGTCAGATTAATCCCAATTAATCCTAATTAATTTCCATTGAATCTGCTGCACAAGGGATAAAAATGGTACTGTTTAGAGATTGCAGGTCACTTTATCCTGCATGTCTCTGAATGCTCAGATTTAACTCCAAAAAGTAGAAAAAAACATATAATCCAGCAGATGACCAGAAGCCATGGCAGAGGCACAAGAAATATGGGAAATCAAGAAAATATCTCTTCCTTAAGGGAAAAGAATAACTTATCATTGCCTACCAACAATATAAGGAAACTTGTGGAAATGTCAGAAAAAAAATATTCATAGTAACAAAGCTAACAGAGATGCAAGAGAAGAGAGACAGTGAACTCGAGAAAATCCAGGAGTGAAAAGACAATGATTTCCAAGAGGTGAGGAAGTTCTTGCATGATCTGAAAGAGGAAATACACATCATAAAAAGAATCAAATGGAATTACTAGAGATGGAGGCTATAATTCAGGAAATAAAACCCTCCCTTGAAAATATAAAAAGCAGATTAGATCATGCAGAAGATCGAATCTCAGATGTAGAAGAACCTCTGACCTAGAAAAATTCACCAAAAGACTGAGAAAATAACACCAAAAAATGAAAATAACATATGAGTAATACTAGATACCATTAGATACCCAAACATGCAGATGATAGGTACCCCAGAAGGTGAAGAAACTAAAAAGGGTATTGACAATTTATTCCATGAAATCCTGGAAGAAAACTTTCCAAACCTAGAGAGGCACTCAAATATCCAGACCCAAGAAATAAAAAGGACCCCACATATAATCAACCCAAGAAGATCTTCTCCAAGACACATCATAGCCAGATTGACCAAAACTATGGACAGAGACAAGATAATAAATTTGGCAAGAGAGAAACGTTACCTTCAAAATGTACTTTCAAAGGATATCCTATCAGGCTAATGTCAGATCTCTCATCGGAAACAATGCAAGCAAGGAAATAGTGGGAAAATATATTCAAAGTCTTAAGTGAAAAACAGTTTCAACCAAGAATACTATACCCAGCAAGATTATCTTTCATATGAGAAAAAAATATGAAAACATTCTCAGATAAACAAACCTAAAAGAGTTTACCAACACCAGACCAGCTCTCCAAGAAGTGCTGAAGGGAGTGCTATACCAGGAAAACTAAAGTCAGACGCACAGAAATAAGAGTACAAAAAACAACCAAGAAAATGGCCATTGTGGGACCAGCAGTTAGTGTAATGGCTATGTTGCTGGACTCCCATGTAGTTGACTGTGGTTTGAGTCCCAGACTCGGTGGCTTAAACTCATGCCGGGTGCATATGCATGCATTCCCAAGATCCTGAGAGGAGAATGGAGGAGAAGGGATTGCAGTGTGGCCATCCCTGTGTGTGTGTGTGTGTGTGTGTGTGTGCGTGTGTGTGTGTGATTTCTTGCTTTCTTGCTTTCTGTCTGTCTTGTTCTGTCTTTCTGGCGAGCACATGGGCCCTACACCAAAAACCTCTCAAAAAAAAAAAAAAAAAAGAAAGAAAGAAAATGGACATCCCAATGGTAGAGACAAGTCCGGAGTTGAATGTTAACTTCCAGAGCTTAAATGGAAAGATGAGACCATAGTAGCACTGCAAATTCAATATAAGAGAGATTAATTACATGAGACTGAACTGGTGAAATTGAATTTTTAGACTCTAGACTAAAACATTACTGATTTTCTTCCATGTTTTGCTTTCCAGATTTAAGGATTTTTGTTTTCTCTTGAACTGCTGATAGCTTCTTCTACCTACTATTTGAACTGAATCCTAACCTTTTTCTTGGCTTTAAGTCTTAAGCAAATTTCTCTTAACATTTTTTAAATTTTGATCTATAAAACTAAAAGTATTTTTCTTGAAATTTAAAAGTGCATTAAAAATTTCTATGTGAAAAATTGTCAATGTACAATACAAGATTGTTAACTATGGCTCAATGTTGTACAGGAGAAATCTAGAAGAATCATCTGGCATAACTGAAACTTGACGCACACTAGGTAGCCACTCATCATTTTCTCCCTCCTTTCAGCCCTGGGTAATCACAATTCTACCCTGTGCTCCTATATTTGGGACTATTTTAGATACTTCCTAAGTAGCATCATGCAGTATTTGTCCTGCTAAGATTGACTTCTTTCACTCAGTATAACATCAGTGTTTATCCACCGTGTCAGAAACGGCAGGGTTTCTTATTTTAGGCTGAACAATAGTTCACTGTACATATGTAACCCATTTTCTTGATTCATTTATTAGTGGACATTTAGGTTGTTTCTAATTCTTGTCTATTGTGAATAATACTGCTATGCACATGAGAATCTGAAAATTTGCTGGATTATATGATAATGTTGTTTTTAATTTTTTGAGAAGCCTCCATTCTGTTCTTTGTAGCAGTGCACCAATTACACTCCCAACTTCTTGCCAAATTTATCTTTTTAATAAAGTAGTAGCCACCCTAATAAGTATGAGGTGACATATTATTGCAGTTTTGATTTGCATTTACCCAATGATTAGTGCTATTGAGTATCTCCTTATACCTGTTTACCATTTGTGTTTCTTCTTTGGAGAAATATCTAATCAAGCCCTTTGCCAATTTTATAATTTTTAAAATTAAATTACATTTTGCTATTTAAAAGAAATAAGGCATGATGCATTTTTGCCGAGAAAAACAGAAAAAAGATGTCATGACTTTTCTGAAAACCTAACACAAAATTCACTTATGTTTTATATATGCCTTATGCATGGCCTGAAGATAATTTGATACAATATTTTTATTTTGCAGCATTTTGACTATGATCTGTCACATGAGGTCAGGTATGAAATTTTCTACTTGTGTTATCATGTCAGTGCTCGAAAAGTTTCAGTTTTGGAGCATTTCGGACTTTACATCTTCAGATTAGGAACATTCAATTTGTATCCTAGTGAGAGGAAGCAGACTATAACCAAGATGCCAGTAAAATGCACATTATTTTAGAAGATGGTTAGAGTTATTAGACAGGAAGGACTAGCAGGCAGCATGGTAATGAAGGCATTTGACCCCCACTTGACCAATAGTGTTCAAGTCCCAGAGCAGGTGACTAGAAATCATACTAGGTGCATCTGTTTGCATGCCCAGAAATCCCAAGAAAAGAATAGAGAAGAATGGATTGTAATGTGGCCATCCTCCCTGGGGGGTGTGGGGGGCGATATCTCACTTTTCCTCTTTCTCTCTCTGGTACATGCACATGTACCCGATAGCAAAAAACTAAAAACAAACAAACAAACAAACAAAAACAGGAAAAGAGATGAGAGAAACTGGGATAAAACTAAAATGAAATTCAAAATTTCACACAGGGTATCATGGTAGTCAGGGTAGTCTATGCTATGAAGGTGGCATTTGAACAAGACTGAAGGAGGTCAGGGCTGAAACATGTACATACTTAGAGAAAGAGAGTATTCTAGGCAGAGGGAACAGATGGGGCCAGCCCTAGAGCCTAAGAGGGTAGTGTGGATACATGTCTGATGGACAGCAGAGACTGGCGTGGCTGTGGTGCAATGATTCAGGAAGACGGTCACAGACTATGAAGATAAAAGGTAAGAGGAATCATACAAATCCTTTCAAACCATTGTCAGACACTGGTTTTTACTTTTGGTAAACTGTGAAGCCTCTGTAGGACCTGGAACCCCAAAGTAAGATAATCTATTAATAGCTTAATTTTTTTTTTTAAGAGACAGATTTTTGCTATAGGGTGTGTACACTTGCTGGAGGGACAGACAGAGAGAAAGTGAGAAATCACCCCCCAGGGTGGATGGCCATGCTGCTGCAATCCCTTTTCCTCCATTTTCCTCTTGGTATTTTGGGCATGCACGCACACACACCCAGCATGAGTTTCAAGCTGCTGGGTCCAGGACTGAAACCACAGTTGGCCATGTGGGAGTCTAACACCTTAACCACTATGCCATCTGCTGGCCCCAAAAACTTAAGTTTTAAAAGTAATACTCTGGATGCTTTATCACGAATAGACTATTGAAAGGAGAGATAGGATAAAAGCAGGAAAATAATTTAGGAAGCTATTGTATTAATCTGGGAAACATAGAACGGTGGCTTAAGTCAAGATAGTAGAGGAGAAGAAAATAAGTAGTTAAAAATGTCCTACGATAGACCCTACAGGATTTTCTGATCGAATATAAGGGCTTGATTAAATAAACTGTATCTATTCAACAAATAGAATACTATGAAATTGTTTTAATAGTTATTTGTTTGTTTTTATAGAGTGCATGGGTATACATAAATATGAGAGACAGAGAGAAAGAGAAAGAGAGATACAGTCCCCAACAAAGTCTGATTGTGCTAAGATCCCTTTCAGCTCCTCAGGGTCTTGGGTACTCATGTGAGCAATTCAAGTGTTACAGGTTGGCTAAGCTGGGGATCCAACCACAGTGGGCCATGTGGCTTCCAGCAGTGTAGTCCAGCATGCTATCAACTGCACCACAGAGGCTGGGCCAGAATGCTATAAAACTGGTAAGTGTGTATATATTTATGTCATATGGAAAGTTAGCTATGCCACATGTTGAATGAGAAAGAAGCAGTTTATTCTAATACAAAGCAAAACAAAACAAAAGCCCACCTACAGTGGTAGCACAAGTGCCCTGCAAAGCTGGAAGTCACATGGCAACCAGTGACTCAGATCTCTGGGTCGGCCTGAACATATGCTAGACACATGGTGTGGCGATCTGGAGGAGCTGGAAGACTGGGGCAGGGGGAGCATCATGTGTCAAGATCCTGTTGAAAGTGCTTCACTCTCACATGTATGTGAACACACACTATCATTTAGGAAGAAAAAGCGGATTATAACATCACATGAAGAGAATGTCTAAAAGATTATATCAAAATTTTTATTATCATCACTAGATAATGCCATTGTGAAAACATTTTCTTTACATTTTATTCATATATTTCATTTTTTCTACAGTAAGTATGTATGTCTTATACAGCTAAGAAGTATTTTTAAAAACTTCTTCCTAGAAATGTAATCCATAATCCCAAAGAAAATAAATCCGTTTGGCAATTCCACTGTAACTGGAGAAATGGGGACAAGTTACCTGGTTAATAGCTCCCAACATCTCAGCCCGGCTGGCTACTCGTGCTGTGCACTGGCTAAGAAACGTTACGTTCTTCTCCAGCTTCTTAATGATTTCCTGAGCCTGGTTGTCATCATCACACAGAGGTGTTAAAGCCTGCACAGAAAGCAAAATATTAAAAGATACCCAACACAAGCATCCAGCTAGTGATTCTACCATTAAGTAAGCTGCAAGTGTGAACAACGGTTTAATTTCAACTATTTTGGTGAACGGCGAAAAGATGCACCATGAATTAAGGCCATTAGTGAAAAAATACTGAAATATTAGTATCTTTGTTGGTTAATACTTGCATGTATGCAGGTGCTCACAAAAACCTTTTATATCTGTTTTTGATCTCTTCTTTTTCTCTTTCTTCCTTTTCTGGAGACAAGGTCTCATTATGTTTCCCAAACTGGTCTCAAACTCATAATTCTCCTGCCTCAGCATCCCAAGAAGCTGGGATTACAGGCACATGCCACATGCCTGACTAATCCCTTCCTTCTTTACTTCAAAAATTTGCCACTCCAGGGAACCAGCGGTTAGCGTAATGGCTATGTCGCTGGACTCCCACATAGTTGACCGCAGTTTGCGTCCCAGACCCGGTGGCTTAAAACTCACGCTGGGCGCGTGTGTGTGCGTGCCCAAGATCCCGAGAGGAAAACAGAGGGGAAGGGATTGCAGCGTGACCATCCCCCCTGGGGGGTGATTTCTCACTTTCTGTCTCTATGTCTCTCTCTGTCTGGCAAGCGCACGTGCCCTATAGCAAAAACCTCTCCAAAAAAAAAAAAATTGCCACTCCCTCATGTGCACATCCTTCTACAGTTAATAAGATGGGCTATAATTAATTGGTAATGGTAAAGAGAGCATACTTATAAATGAACTGAATGTTTTATATGAGGAGCATAGGTTAGAATTTTGAGAAAAATAGCAAAACATGCTAGAATTAGAAATGGCTCTGACTACTATACTTCCTGTCCCATTGATGTTAAGGTGTGACTGGGTTGGCTAGGGGGTGCCTTCATTGCACTATGACTATTTCTCTCAAACTTGTCCCTTTATCCAAGACGACACTGTTCTTGATGGAGAACCATTTTTCTCACTAACTAGAGATAGAATGAAGAGAATAGCAGATTTGAAAGCAGATAAATCACTGCTCATTAGCTGTGTGGTTGTGAGAAAATTTCTAAGACCTGTCATCATCTAAAACACCATGAACTGTACCATTATTTTGTATATTCTTAAGACAGAAAAGGTATTGTCAATATAATTATTAGGGATCATTGACAGTGAATTGCATCATAATTCTAGAAGTATCAAATTATCAACCTTTCTAATTTGTTCTCTTTCCTCACCTTTCCAGAAATACTGTGATTTGGGAGGTAATAGCTGTCAATTACTTGTCACAAAGTTGGTGCTCAATAAATGATAGCCACTTTTTTTTTTTTAAAGAGGTTTTTACCTTAGGGTCCATGTGCTCACCAGAGAGAGAGACAGACAGAGAGAAAGGAAAAGTGAGAAATCACCCTCCAGGGGAGATGGCCATGCTGCAATCTCTTCTCTTCCATTTTCCTCCCAGGATCTTGGGCACACACACACACATATGTGCACAACATGATTTTCAAGCCATCTGGTCCAGGACTCAAACCACGGTTGGCCATGTGGGAATCCAGTGACATAACTGCTATGCCATCTGCTGGTCCCTTTGACAGCCACTTTGGAAGTAGGTAGATATGAGTTGTAGCCAGAGTTGCTAACCAACTGGGACATCCATTTTCAGACACACAATTTCCAACAGTAGCTTAAATAATCCTTTCCATTTGGGAAGGGAAGAGCAGATGCTAGTTGTTAGCAAAACAAAATACAGTTAAACAAGTTTGAATCATAAAGAAATAGAAATTCTGACAGATCTATAACTAACAAGGAAATTGGATCAATAATCGAAGACCTCCTAATGAAGAAAAGCCCAGTTCAAATGATTTTACTGGAGAATTCTATCAAACATCTAAGAAGAATAAATGCCAGTGTACCAAAGCTCTTCCAAAAAATTAAAAAAGAAGGAACACTTCCAAGCTCATTCTATGAGCATTACCTTAATACCAAAGCCAGCCAAATGCATTATAAGAAATAGTTCTGATAAATATTGATGTAAAAATTCTCAACAAAATACTAGCAAACTGAATTCAACAGCACATTAAAAGGATTATAACAAGGTGGTGGTGCAGTGGTAACTCAACTGAACCTCCATGGGAAAGGTCCTGAGTTCATGTCCTAGAACCTCTCTCGGCACAATAAACATGCAAGCTCATGCCCGTGATCTGGGCTGGTTGAGTCTAGGATTGGATCACAACATGAAGAGCCTTTGGGAGTGTTTTTCTGTCTCTGTATCTCTCTCTCATGGAGAGAAAAAATAAACTTAAAAAAAAATTAAAATGAAAGATCCTGAAAAAGAAGGATTTCTTCCTGGAAGGGAAGGATGGTTCAATATATGAAAAAATTGAACCAACGTAATGCACCACATTAACAGAAAAGAGGATTAAGAAATATACGACTTTACGGATACAGAAAGAGCATTTGACAATATTCGATACCACTTTATAATTTAATAAGCTCAGAAACCAGAAGCAGAAAAAAATTACCTCAGTATAATAAAATTATACATTTTAAAAAAACACAGCAAAATTGTAGAATAAAAATTTAGCACAAAAAAGACAGTCGTGTTTCTATATACCAACAGTTTTCTAAAAGGAAAATTTTTAAATACCTTTTACAGCATCGTCAAAATTAATAAAATACTTAAGAATAAGCTTACCCAAGAAAGACCTGTACACTGAAAACTATAATTTTCATTCTGCTGATATATATATATATGAAAAGACATCCCTATTTCTTGGATTTGTAGATATAATTTTGTTACGACATCCATACTATTCAAAGTAATCTATGTATTCAAGGTAATCTCTATCAAAATCCCAGCAGAATATTTTTCAGAAATAAAAAAATCTTATCCTCCTCTTTCCCATTGTACAAGATGGTAGGTGAAAAAGCAGAGAAACCAGATACTAAGGATAAGAAACCTAAAGCCAAGGAGACTAACACAAGTGGCTCAGAAAGGCCAAAGAAGGGGAAACCCTGTTGCTGTTGAAACCCAGTCCTAGTCAGAGGAATCGGCGGATACTCTTGATCTGCCACGTATTCCAAGAAAGCCAAGTAAAAGGAGAAATATTCAGCCACTAAATTCAGGATTGAAAAAAAAAATCAGAAGATTCTTTTTCTTTAGAGAGATATTTTTGCTATAGGGCTCATGTGCTTGCCAGAGAGAGACAGAAAGCAAGAAATCACCCCCCAGGAGGATGGCTATGCTGCAATACCTTCTCCATTCACCTCTTGAGATTTTGGGCACTGCACACGTGTGTCTGGCATGAATTTTAAGCTGCCAGATCCAGACTCTAACTGCAGTCAACTATGTGTGTGTGTGTGTGTAGGGGGGTCCGGTAATGTAACTATTATAACCACCTGCTGGTCCTGAAAAGGTTCTTGCCACTATCACAAAATCACTTAGTGGTGACAAGAATGGTGGTGCCCAGGTGGTTAGACCTACACAAAATGCCTAGGTATTATCCTACTGAAGATGTGCCTCAAAAGCTGTTGAGTCAGGGTCCAGCAGGTGATGTAGTGTTTAAGGTATAGACTCTCACATGCCTGATCACAGTTCAAGTCCTAGACCTGGTGGCTTGAAACTTATGCCAGGCATGCATGTGTGTGTGCCCAAAATCCCAGGAGGAGAATGAAGAAGGGACTGTGGCGTGGCCAGCCCCCTGAGGGATAATTACTCACTTTCATTGTTTCTCTCTGTCTTTCTTGGGTTAGTGCATGTGCCCCTATGGCAAAAACCTTAAAAAAATTTTTGTTTTTCCTTAAAAATAGCTTATAGTTTATCCTCAACAGCAATAAAACATCTTCAGTCAGCATGTGAGAAAGCTGCAAGCTAGCATTACTCCCAGGATCATTCCAATTATCCTCACTGGATGCTACAGAGGCAAGAGTGGTTTTCCAAAAGCAACTGAGCAGTGGCTTGCCACTTATGACTGGACCTCTCGTCCTCAACTGAGTTCCACTGAGTATCACACACCAGAAATCTGTCATTACCACCTCCACTAAAACTGATTACTAGCAATGAAAAATCCCAAAACACCTCACTGATTCTTACTTCAGGAAAAAGAAGCTGTGGAAGCCCAGACACAAAAGTGAGCTCTTCGGCACAGAAAAAGAAATACAAGATTACAGAGGAGCACAAGGTTGATCAAAAAGCTGTGGACTTGCAAATTTTACTAAATATCAATGCTGATCCTTAGCTCCAGGATAACCTCTGATCCGTGTCTGCTCTTACAAATGGAGTTTATCCTCAAAAATTGGTGTTTTAAATTTCTTGCTAATAACCTACTTAAATAGCTGATAAGTTTAAACAAGAAAAACTTATCCTAAAATTTATATGGAATCTCTAGGACTCTTGAATATTTAGAGCAACTTTTTTAAAAGAAAAATAAGTTTGGTGGACCCACACTTCTTGATTTCAAAACATATTAAAAAGCTACCGTAACTAAAACATTGTGGTACTCACATTAAAACAGACATACAGACATGAAATAGCCCAGAGATACACCTTCATTATTTGCTCAAATGATCTTTGACAATCATGTCAAGGTTACACAATGGGGAAAGGTCTCTTCAATACATGGTATCAGGAAAACTAGATACCACAAGCAAGGAATAAAATTAGAACCCTTATCTTACACTATATAAAAAATGAACTCAAAATAGATTAAAGACCTAAAGGTCAGCCTCAAAGCAAAAACCTCTAGGGGGCAATAAACAACAACAGAGGAAATCCTCAGGATCTCGTATTTGGCAAAGATTTCTTGGATATGACACCAAGGCATAGGCGACAAAAGTAAAAACAAACGGAATTACATCAAACTAAAAATCTTTTGCACATCCAAGAATCCAATCACAGAGTAAAAAGGCAATCACAGAATGAGATAAAATACTAGCAAATTGTATCATTGATAAGAGATTAATATCCAAAATATGTACAGAACTCCTACAACTCAACAATAAAATCATCTATGTAACTTGGTTAAAATTGGACAAAGGGCCTAACTGCAGTGGTGCTGTGGTAGCGCAATGCTCTATAAAGCTAAGCCAAACGGAGATCAGTTCAGTACCTGTGACCCTAGTTGGCTGGGAAAGGCTGGGGGAAGATTTATGGTATGAGACCCTGTTAAGAGTGCTTCTGTTTCTCATCCCTTACAAAAGAAATACACTTTTTTAAAAATGGACAAAGGACCTGAATAGACAATTTTCCAAAATGATACCCACATGGCCAAGGAGGATATGAGTGTCTTACATCACTCATCAAAGACACGCACATCAAAACTACAATTACTACCTCACATCCATTAGGATAGCCATTATTTTTTTAAAAAGGAAAAGGCAAACAGAAAATGACAAGTTTTGGTGAGGATTTGGAGAAATTGGAAACTTTGTCCCCTGTTGGTGGCAATGTAAAATGTGCACCTTTATAAACAGTATGATGATTCCTCAAAAAACGGAATTACCATGTGATCCAACCACTCTGTCCCTGGGTATAT